TCAAATTTGTGATGGAGATATATGAAGCTACCATTACCAAATTCATCCCCAAGAGATGTTTTTTTTGGATAATAACACTAAGTATGTGACAGACTTCAGTCAGAGACATTCAGTTCTGCGCATAAAAGAACACCAAAAACAGCTCAGAAATGAATCTTAATGTATGCTTTTTGGAGGAAAAGAAGGGAGGACTCCAAATGTTTGACAGGTTTTCCAGGTTCCATGGCTTCATTATCACATTGACTCACAGGTCCCACATGGTGATCTGTCTTGTTTATTAGAAGGTGGCTACATCTTGGTTTCACTCCCTGCTGATTGGTTTGCTGAGACTTCAGCTCATCATTTCTCTGCCTCGTTGCTATCTGTTAGGTGATGCTGAAGAATAGTGAATCACATTGATCTTTTTCTTTGCAAAGATTTACATGAGTTTGGATTTACTGGAGTGACAGAAAATTTGTTCATTTAAACCTCGATTTCTGTGGCTTTTTCACAGCAAGTTAGAACAATGACTGTGTATTTGATTTATGGCTCTCTTCTTCCTTATCTCCAGTATTTAGTTTCTCCTAATAAGAGAGATAAGAAATGTATTTGAATGCAGATCACAGAGGTTTCTGAGTACAGCCTGGAAACCTTAAGCACCGGAGCTTTCATTCTAGAGGCTCAATTTCAGTCACTGCTTTATCTTAATCTCTTTATTCAAAATCTTTTTTATATGTTGACACATACCTATTTGTCTACAGTTCTTTCAGGAAGAACTAACATTTGAACATTTGGGCTGCTGAAATCCTGGTTCTTTCAGGGAGGAGATGATATGCCTTTACATGTTTGCCAATTGTGTAATGCAAAACCAGGTCTATACTAACTCAAAAGCATTCTTTGCTGAATACTTATTGGACATCTGTGTATCTCATACTTCTCTGATTAGATACAATTCCATTTGAAAAATAGAGTCTTACTCTGTTTTGCATATAACAAGCAGATAAGACAGAGGCAATGCAAATACAAGATGTTAGCACAAGGAAAGCCAAGCAGTGGATTTACAATAGCATGATGACAAACAATTCTGCACAGTTTGAATGCACACAGTTTGCCCACTCTTGTAAATGTGACATCACCTACCCTTCTCTTCCTGATGACTGAACTGTCCCACAGCCTCTGTGGTTTGGTGTATGCAATCCACATGCCTTTCCTATGGAAGAGCTGCCATTGTAAATTTACCTGTGGATTATCCAGTCCACTGGCACTTTGAATTTTCCATACTGGAACAGTATCAGTTTCCACAACAATACCTAAACTGAGGTATAAGATGGGATGATGGGTCTGAGATGGTGCTAGCCTATCAGGATGCTGTAATGTGCAAACATTCATCAGCAATATGAGGTTGAACAGCATCTCCACGTTTGCTAGAATGGTTTGGCAAGGAGGTTTGTACACAAAGGTACAAGCTTTCTTCATCACTCTTCTGCTCAAAAACTTTGCCACTGCAAAAATATATGCAATTCATTGTGGTAACAAATAGTGTGAAAAATTTGGTGCTATTGGGAAGCAGAATTATTTAAATGACTGTGTCTGGCTTAATGTAATGTCAAAACATACACATGGGGGCAAAATAATAAGGGGCATGTTGATTCACAAAAATGCAGGAGTTTCCTCTTTAACAAAGAAGTCCTTACATTTCTGCCATAGGAAGAAGTCATTAATGAATGCAGATTGTGGACTGCGAGCATTCTTTGTGCTGAATGTGTTCCTACACACATTACACACATAGATACAGTGAATGATACTAGATAGACTTTGTCTGGTGTTATTTGGACATTGGATACATTCTGATACAAATTACAGAATGCATAAATTGTTCTTCATTTTAAAATAATTTTTAGGAGCAACTAGGTGCAATTGACTTTAATGAAACAATGCAGTGATAAGGATTTGAATCCAAAAAGTGAGAGGGAGTCAGGGCACTTGTCTCCTTCCCATTGCCTTCTCAAGCTGATGTATTGATGATTTTACCAAACTGTATGTCTTCAGAAAGGCTGAAGATGTGCTACTGCTTTTATCCCCAAGTGGCCACTAGGGAAGAGTCTCTTAAGTATTTAGAGTTAAGGAACTGGTCATAAAACCTGAGTTCTATATAGAGAAAAGACAAAATGCAGAAATGCAATAAGCTAATAAATGTCAAGTCAACCGTAATATACAAAAATTACCTTTTCATTTAGCTTAGTCAGGCTCAATCAAGAAATGAGTTTTATTTTTGTCACCCCAAATACGGGACTAGGTGCAATAATACAGGTCGTTAGATCATATTAGAGACCAAAGATTTGTTCTGGGTTTTATCTTCTCTTGCTCACATTCTTTTCCCTAGAAGGGAGAGTGAGATGAGATAAGCACTGGATTTATGCAGAACACAGTAGAGATAATTTTGTTTAACAAAATAAAAATAAATCACAGCTATTTTCTGGATATATCCCTTTTTCTGTCACAACAAATTTCAGATTGTTGGCAGTTGTTTCACAAGGTTTTCTGTGACGTCAAACCCAATCACAATCTATTCTGCTACTTAAAAATTCGGGACCCTGGCAACACAGCTTCCTCTCTCCAATCGCAGGGCAGCAAAGCAACTGCAAGCTATTGCATTTGGATTTGTCAGAATAAATAATTAAAAGGCTCATCAGCTTCTCACTAATGAACAAGGAAATGTGATTAAGCAACTTTAAGGGAGAATAGCTGAAAACAATATAGAAATGATAGCAGGATGATTGCTGTAATGAGTGACTGAAATTTCTGAAGAAGAGATTTCTTCAACCAAGCACAAGGATAGTAGTTTAATCTTCCATTTAAAGATTTCTGCCAATTTGGAAAAGCTCTGAATCAGGAGATTACAGATGTCTCAGAAGATGATAAGGCAGTCATTTCTCTTAAGACAGCTACTTTCTGGCAAATGCTCAGAAATATCTTGTGTGTTTGTGTGTGGTTTTGGTTTTCTTTTTTACTATTTCAAGAATCTGAAATTCTACCAAACAATGACTAGGACATGTCTCACTAGGCAATCTTTTATTCTCAAAGAGTCTAAAAATGCAAATCATCTTTCAGACCAAAATGTTCTAGAGATGCTTGCCAAGTTTACTGTGGCTAATATCTAGAAATTGTACTGATTAGTTTCTGGCATGGTTCCTTGAAAGTGTTTTGCATGTTAGTATCCATTAAATATCTTATTCCTCTTTATTAATCTTAAGCACCAAAAAATGTACTTCTACCTTATGTCTAATCTGTTTCTATGCTTCTACTGTCTGCTTTCCTAGTATATCTAAGGGAGATAGCACATAATACAGAAACTCAAAGAAAAGTGAAATAATAGATGTTGCAGCAATTCTTCTGTGTGTCAGGAGAAAGATATCTTTTTTTTTCCCTTTATATGCATTCATAAATGACATGGTCTTTTTATGAATAAGGGCACAAAAGTCAACAAGCAGATTACAAAATTTCTGTCCAGACTGTAGAAGTTTCCAAATACTCAGATATAAAACTGATATGCAGAAAAGTATGAGATTCATAGTTACACAGCTTTTATAAAGAAAGTAAAATAAAATGTCAAACATCTTTTCAGTTACAGGAATGCTCATGTACCTCAAATAGCATACTCAGCATTACAGAAAAAAAACACAGGCAGAAAATGCTGTTCTACTTCAAGAGGAAGTGATTCTTTCAATTGTTTTTCTTCCACATGATGTAGGCCCACCATAGTGCAGCGCATAGTCTACATAATAGAAAACACTTTGGATTTTCAGCTAAAACTCCAGCTGTCTCCAGTGGAGATTTGATATGGTTTAACCATGTTGTTAGCCTTCAGGTATCTCCTTGTGTTCCTTACAGTACTTTGAGATCATCTTGTTATCTTCTAATTCACTTCCATAGAGATGCAAGTTCATCCATTTTCAGTTTCTGCTTTGAAGGCAACTTGTACTTTCCTTGTTCCATGCTATAAGTTACAGTTCATTAGGGTTAGCTAGGGTTTAGGGTTATTTATTGTCAAACTCAGTGACTTGTCTCCTGCCAGCGGTTTAGCCTAGCCATCCTCTTTGTCTCTGATTGCATACATTCTCCTTTGACTGAAATGGCTGGGTTTGTATTCGAAGCTTATGTTTTATCCTCAAAGCCATGACCATGGTATATCATCTCATGTCATATCTTCTGTGCACAAGAAAAGAATGAGAAGCCATTTCAGTAAGGACATCCACAATAGACACCATCTCTTCTCAGAGAGCAGAGATGTAGAAGAAGTCTCCATCTGTCAGGAATTCTCTGCAGTTCCCTTTTCCAAACTGCTCAGTGTAGCAAAAGATAAAAAGAAAGGTGACATATTTCATCTTTATGCTTTTTCCAGGCCAAGTTCTGTGAAAACTTCTCTGCAAAATTTCCCCTGAGCAACTAGGTTGCATGGGTGTAGTCAGTGAAGTATTCACAATGTCCTTTTGCTTCTACGAAAAGAAGAGCAGTCTTGGAAGAATAATCCTTCATTATTCAAGTAAATTCCTTGAAGAATGACATTTTTATTCTGTCATTACATTTAGAATTTTATTATTTTATTTTATCTTAGACATAGCAGTTTGCTTTTTGTGCTGTGGTAGGATTGATGCCACATTGCCCAGATCTCCAGAGCCAGATCTGGAGAAAAACTTGCTTTTCAATTTATTTCTGCCAGAACATCTTAGTTTTATGCTTAGACTGGAACTATAAATGTTGTAATTCGTGTGAATCCATTTCAGTGTAACTTTAGCTTCCTACGGTAGATTAATTATAGATAAATCCTTGGTGAAATAGTACTTCTGAAACTTCTGTGTGAGGGAAGAGACATTTGCAAATTGTACATTCATTTAAAGAAACACAAACCTACCAATTTTGTGCAAATTTCCCCACAGCTACACCATTCTGAAAAATCATCCTTTTTTTACATTGCCATAAAAATAAAGCATCTGACATGTGCATGCACTTTCTTTTTGTAGGTGGAATGGAGAAAATAAAACAGCATACCTTTGCATTAGCTTACTACACCTATAGTGTGCTGTCTGAGTTAAAATATGCCAATGGGGCTCCTGTAGTACGTATTTACAGCGATACAGATTTCAGCAATCCTGATGTCCAGGGTCCAATCATTAATTTTAATGTGCTTGATGAAAATGGAGAAGTGGTCGGCTTTTCACAGGTATGTTTTTCTCTTGCCTTCGGTGTTATGGTTGTATTTTAAGCATATTCACAATGAGTTCTTTTTCCTAAAAAGAAGTATTTTCTTCATGATAGTCCCTTCTGAGGTTTTTTGGTTTTGTTTCTTCGTGGCTCTGCACCATATATACACACCATTTATAAAGTAGCAGAAAGGAAATCCAATAAATTGTGTTAGTGCAATACCAAGTACATAATAGCCAAAGGCAATGTCTTACAGATTTAATACTCTACAAGCAGGAAGTTTGGAAGTGGGCTGTTTAAACAGGATGCATAGACTAGGCAGTTTGATTTCTTGTTGACTTCAGTCTCTAGAGTGCTCAAAACTGGGAATTGAGGAGCAAGCCTGGAAAAGCTGATAAAAGGCTGCCTCGGAGCTTTGACATGCAAGTGAAATCAGATCTCAAAATATTGCAGTCACCATTGAGAGAGGAGTTGCATTTCCCTCTGGTTCTAACAATTGCATTCTTGTAATATTCCTGAGGAAGCATGGAATAAAGTTGAATTATCAGCGTAAAGTGAGAATTTTGAGATTCAAGCTCAAAAAATCTTTAAATGCTGTCTTGTTCAGCAGCTTTCTCTAGCCTTTATCCCTCAGGTATACCAAGTATCTTAAAGATAAAACTTCATTAAATTTTCTCCCTTCAGTAGAGAGGTAATGGTGTGTGACCGTAATTGTGTGTATGGCTGCACATGATGCAGGCAGTGGGTCACGTAGGGTAGCATAGCTCACTTGCTCATCAGCAGAAGTCAGAAAAAAACACACTGCTCTAGTTTTGCTTCCTTCTTCTGGTTTTCATTGGCTGATGACTGAGTAAGCCCACAAGTCACATTCAAGTGTATGACCCTGATTTTTTTATAAAGCTGTCAATAACTGAATAACTGTCAATAATGCGTGTCTCGGCAGCTACCTCCCTACTGCCAGCAGTATTGGCAGAGCTGCATTATTCTTGGAGCTGATATTTCTGGACCATTAGGGAGAGAGCAGGAGTGCTGCAAAAGGTGTTCCTCAACACTCCTCTGCCAGAGAGGAGAACAAAATAACGAGGGGAACACGTCTATAATAATACAAAAGGAAATCCATATATACACAAGGGACAATAGAAGTGAAGCATTTGCCTTGTAGCCTGTCTTACAATTTCTTTTAAGGCATTTCCTACAGTGATGAACATGGGATAGGTAAAAGTATAGTACTAACAAAGCTCTTCTTCACATACTTTTTTTTTCAGGCTATGCTACCAAATAATGTCAAATATTCACCACATTTAATTTTAAAGAATTCCACATTTTAGGAGTGAATTAGCCGTTTTTACAGTCTTAAATATGTGTGGCATTGATCAGGACAGGACAAACCTACAACTGTCTTTGTAAAACACTCCATAAACACTTAGTTGTTGCTTCTGTTCTTTGGTTAAAACCAGAACTTTTATTTTGACTTCTGATTTTCATAGTTTTGTAGTAAAATTGGCTCTTCCTTGTTTCAGTTTTTTAAACTCAACTGTGCCCTCAAAAAAAAATTATTTTATAGTCTCATGGCTCCGTTGTGTCTGTTTGCTGCAGCGGCTGCTCATAAAAGTTTTCTTTATTAATCTGTATCATCTGGATTGTGCTGTTCACCAGATTCTCCTAATTTCTGGTGTGAGTATCTAGAATGAAGAACTATATAATTTTTCAAATGCACACTAATGACATCTGCGGTGCCTGTTAGATTACTTTGTTTAATTAAAATAATGTGCAGTTTAATGACTTTTAGAAATTAACAAGCAGCAGCACTATTCTTTCCAAAGTTGCAATATGTGAAATATATATATATATATAATTGGCTTCTTCATGGAATGAAATTCCTTCATAGACATAGCAGTTATGGGCAAGAAAAATGTTTGCTTCTCCTTTATGATTACAAGGAAAATACATACAGCAGACAGTGGGCTTCATCAAACTGACAATATAATCTTACCTTCATACACGTATGCATGTCTAAAATTAGGTCGGTTTGTTCATATCAAAGTTAAATCCAATACCTTTGTTAATGGTTGGCCAATGAAATAGTGTCCTCTAGCTTGGTCAGATCTGTGGTCTGCACATTCATGTGGATTCTCTGGGCAAGCTCCAAATGCAATCTAGTGGAATTAGGAGAATATGTTTTCAGAAGACTCCCAGAAAACATTCTTGGGAATTTTTAATGAAGGAAAATTTGGATGGCATTTCTATCTGACATACCTCCTACTAGTGGACACCAATTAATGATTCAGGTTGTCTTTCAGCTAGTATATTAAAAGAGAAATGACAGAATGTCCTATTCCTTTATGGATGATATTCTATCCATAATTAATTACTTATAACCAGGCATCGAACCAGTTCTATTTGTCTTTCTGACAGGCAATTGTTATGTGCCCATTGCCTATTATAGGGCACAGTGTGACTGGACATTAACATTTGGTAGCTTGAAAAGGACAATATGACTAAGTGATTACAGAGAAAACACTATGACGAGGCTTGGAGCAGTTTATTTAGAACATTTGAGACTGGCAAAAAAGACTTCATAAGTGACAGTGTCTTCAGAGGATACCAAGCTTACATTTAAGCCTCGAGATTTACATAATTTGCATGATATTCAAAACTCTGAACTAAGCCCAAGATATTTAGGATGTAAAAGGCATGCAGTGAAATGCATGACATTTAATGCTGCCACTGAAAAATGAAAACAGGGTAAAAATGTCTTTCATCTGTATATCAATGGGGCGGAAATCTGTTCTTACCTGCTCATATGATTAAAATCCATTTCACAGTGTTATTAGAGTTTAATTACCAGAGTTAACAGGATTGTGCTACTAAACACAAAGATGCTTGAATTACATGCATGGGGTCAATTGTACCAACAGGAAGTAGCCACAGTGTGGGGTTCATCTTTGAGTAAAACCTTCATTGCAACACTGAAGATCAAATGAAGGCATTTCATTAAAGTGAGGCACACTAATAACCATAGCATGATTGCAGTCTCAAGGGTGGCAGCATTTCTTACTGCCTCCTGTCACAATATATATGATGTAGAACATTTTGATGTTAAGAAGTGATAGGGTAGGAGTGAAATCATTATGGAAGTTATTTGAATTGCTATTGCTTTTTTGTTTAAATGTTTCTTTGTGATTGTTGAAGGGTAACACTGTCTTAGAATATTATACTTGAAATAAACTTGCTTTGTGTACTATATGTATCATTGGTTTAACTGACAGTTTAATTACTGGTTTAGCTATTTTGCTTTAAATGGTAATTAAAATTTTTAAAAAAGAGGGACTTGCAGACTCCGAACATCAATAGTCACTCAGAAGCTTCGGGTTTTCTTCAGATTTTTCATGAAACATTTCTTTATCTAGGAATAAAACTACTACAGTTTTGAAATTTTCATAAACCTCTTGTATTTGAGCTCTAAAACTGCATTAAATTTCCTCCTTTAAGCTGCACCAAATACTTCCCATGAAAATATTTCCTTCTTTAAAGTAGTCTGGTAGACTACTATTGATAGTAATTTGTTCTTGAAATTACTTGGGAGGACAGCTGTATTCTTTCCACACAAGCTGCCTGTCCTCTGCAGTAGCACATCTGTCATTTTGTTATGTGTTTATTTGCACTGCAACACCAGAAAACACTAGTTATGAACAGGGGTTAAGCTATGATGAGCACTTGACAGGCCCAGGACATAAAGATGGCCTTTATGCCAAACAGCTTCTTCATACATACTTGTCTAGATAAGAATGGATAATTCCCCAGCATTAGTTTTTTGCTGCTAATGAAGGGTGGACAGATGACAGACTGGTGATTTGGAAAGGTGGGAAAGTTCATGGGTAGAGATGAAGAACCTGTGCTATGTCAGTGCTGCAGGATGGAAGCAGTAGAGTTGTCATTAATGCAGCAAGCTGTCAGTCTTCTGCTTCCTTGTGAGGCTACCAGAAAAAAGAAGCAATTAGCAGTAGATATTAAAGGGTATTTGTGATGTCACAAAAAATGGTGTTACATATATGCTTGGTGTGGAGCTAATGCTGCCAACTTTTCACACAGAGAATTATCATCAGCTCATTTATGAACAATGAATATCTGCAGGCTTCAGCATAGATGAATGTCATGTGTTTATACATCCCCAAGTCCTTCCAACCTCTGGAACACTGCTTGACAGCAGTGACTCTGCTTTAGTTTACATCCTTGCCTTCTTTTTTTCAGCAAAATCTTGCATAGGATTCTGTGAGGTTCCAGCCTGGTTTGAATGCAAATGAGGAGATAGAACAGCTGTAAGGAACAGCACTGATTTGAAACAACGATCATACACACACACAAAAAAAAGTGGATTTCTTATAAATGGGGTCAAAGTGCAAATGTTGTACATTCTCTTCTATTTGTAGATGTGAAAAAATATCACCATCTCTGCTATAAGGGACTTCTTGTGCTAATATGATTTATAAAGTTTTGATAGGGAGAAGAGACTTACGAAATGTTCTTTGTACATTCAGTAGATAATTGCAGAGTAATTTTATAATCCGTTCACATTTTGTTCTATAACTTCAATTTGGAAGCTGGAAGAGGGAAAAAGGATAGGAGGCATAGATGGGTAGATGGAATTTCACCTGAAACATTTATTGCATTATATGCACTGGAGGCCTCTTACCCAGTCACACCTTCCAGTTCAGTGTTTTCTGATACAAGTGAAAAGTAGTCCTTCCGTTATCAAACTATTTTTGAGACAAGATTTTTTTCTCCTCTCTATGTAACAGGCTGTTGAAAGTGAGGAAACCATCATAGCTGTTTTTTGAAAAATGGCCATTTCACGTTTCAGCTGTGGATTACCAGCACCCATTCCTACTGTGCTTTTTTATGCTGCCTCCTTTGCTTGGAGCCTGAACCTAAGCAGAAGTAACTCGCTGTGATTGGTCACTTGCAAAAGTTCCCTTGGCATCCATATATACTTGCCATGTCTCCTAAAAATCCTGGCAG